TCTGAGCATGTTTTGATATAAATAGAGGGGAGAGGGCAGAGCGAGGATACTGGGGCGAGGCTGGGATGGAGGCAGTGGTAGCTCTGAAAGGGAAGCACCAAGGTCTAGCTGCAACCAGACATAACAAGTTTTTTATCCATAACCACAAAAACCCAGAGCATTACCAATAGGAAGCACTGGACTGTGAAAGACAGTCCAAACCTCAGTAAATCTTATCTCAAGTTCTGTGAAGGGTTGTGTATTCCTGAATACTTCAATCCTGAGTGAAGCTTTTACATATAACCACTGTAAAGGTAAAAAAAAAAAACCAGAGACCAGAGTGGATTTGAAGTCCGTGCATCAGTCTCAAAGTCTCCTTCATTGTTGTTGTTGTTAGGTGCCATCAAGTTAGTGCTGATTCATAGCGACCTTATGCACAGCAGAACAAAACAATGCTCGTTCCTGGGCCAACCTCACTACTGTTGAGGCCAGTCTCTAAAGGCAAGATCCTCCATGTGAACTATGCAAAAGGCTTCAAGAATTGAACAAAAAAAAAAAAAAAAAAAAGGATTCTTGTGTAGTGCTGTTAGCATCAAATGGATTACGACACCTGGTGGCCCCAGGTATCCAGAACAGAGCTGCCCATGCAGTTTTCAAGGCCGTGACCTTTCAGAAAAAGACTGCCAGGCCTGTTTCTAGGTGGATGCCTCTGGGTGGGTTTAAACTGCCAACCTTTCAGCTACTAGTCCAGGACTCTTAGTTTGAGTGGAAAAGATCTGAGTGAGACCCAGAGCCAACCCCACTCAGTTCTGCTGCCTTTGGCTCAACCCATCATATAAGGCATAAAGGAAGCAATGTAATTAACAGACTTTCCTCAATTTTGATCCAATTGTTACTATGAATAAAAATCTATGAAAAAGGTTACGAGTCCATGGATAATCTGCACTGCCCTTTAAGAACAATGATCTTAACCACTGTGGCCGTGTTACTAAATTTGAGTGAATGCAAAAATTATGTTCAGCATAACGCTTTTATTAACATGACATTCAATTTGTGAGACTGCTAGAATACTACACTTTTACTTTAAAAAAATTTGCACACATTTAAATTGCAGTTACTTGACTTTTCAAGAATGAATTCCTGCAGAAATACGGAGGACACAACAGTGCCACACCTAAGGAGCTATGGAAAGCAGGCAGCTTCCTAACCAGTCCCTGGGGCAACTTGAAATTTCAATTACTTTAAAACCCAGCTGCTTAGGTTTGTAAGGACCCTGCTACCAAGTGTTAGGAAACCACAGGTCAGTTTGCCAATTTTGGAATACAGGTGTTATGCATCTCGCATCTTTGAATTCCTCTGAGGCTTTCATTTAGCATGAAACAGACAAACGTAATCTGTGCTTAATTCCAGGTTTTCTCAGCAATGCAAATTATTCCATTACGTACAACTGGGTGATCTCAGCGGATTAAGCAGCTTTTTTCTTAGTGAAAAGAAAAAAAAAAAAAAATCATGTAAGGAACTTGAGGACCTGAACAAAGTGAACATCTGAGTTTAGTGCTGCCTGTCAGTTGGCTGGTAGGCAGACCTCATTTGGAAACAAGTTATTTCTTTGCCAGGCAACAGGCTAGTGGTACACACGTACCACACAGTGGTTTGTCAGCAACAGTACCGTGTACAATGAGAGGCCTAAATGGATGAAATCCCTCTCAGGGCATCTAGTCCAAACTGGCCTGCCTGTGTTATCTTCGAGACATCAAATCTGTTTCAAAGGAGTCTTCATCATTGCTCTCAGCCCTCTCCCTAACCAAGTCCTGAGCTGGTAGGATTCCCCAGATCTCCCAAAGTAGCAGGGGCCTAGGCAGTCAGCTTAGAGACCAAATTCCTAAGTAAGTTACCTTCCTAAAAGCAAAGGTTTGTTGTTGTTAAGTACAGTTGAGTTGGTTCCAACCAAGAGCAACATTATATAGGGTTTCTGAGGAGCAGCTGGTGACCTTGAACAACCAACCTTGCGGTTCAAACAGACTTTGCAGTCCAGCGCATTAACCCATAGCACCACACCATGACTCCTAAGCAAAAGTAAGGAAATAAATGGGTTAATGCACCAGACTGCAAAGCCGTTTGTACTGCAAGGTCAGCAGTTCAAGCTATAGGGTGGCTATGGGTCAGAACTGACTTGACGGCAATTAACAACAACAAGGCAAACAAATGCCCTCAAGAGCTAGCAACTTCCAGTAAGACGGTGGCAATGACAGCAGGGCTGTATGCAGACATGTGCATCTGTGGTCATTCTCCTGCTACAAGTGGACCACTCCCGTATCACACCAAAACTTGTCAATACAATTATTTACATGAAAAACGTAGGGATCCCCCACTTCCATTTATAGGAGGGAAATTTCAAGCATGCTAGCCTACTCACCATGAATGGCTCCTAACCAAACCAAAATTAAACCCGCTGTCACCAAGTTGATTACGACTCATATCGACCCGATATAGGGTTTCTGAAACTGTAAACTCTTTGGAACCTAACCCTCAGCGCCACCAGGACTCTCTGAATGATTCCTGGTGTTGTTAAGTGCTGTGGAGGTTTTGGCTCATAGCGGCTCTATATAGGGTTTCCCAAGAGTAGCTGGTGGGTTTGAACCACTGACCTTGTAGTTCACAGTCCAGTGCTGATCCTGCAGCACCACACACCAGGAATCCATTGGGCATCTGTAACACATTCCCACCAACAAACTAAAACAATAAACAATCCTTCACATGTGGTAAGCACCTAAGTTCTTACCACCTTGGTAGTACTCAGCACTCCAAAGGCAAACAGTATCAGCAATTTGTGGTCCTGGTGGCACTATAGGGTAAGCAATGGGCTGATAAGCCAAAAGGTCAGCAGTTCAAACTATTCCTCATGAGAAAGATACAGCTGCTTGCTTTAAGAATTCACAGCTGTGGAAACCCTTACATAGAAAACCCTATGTAGCGACGCTGAATCATAATCTATGAGTCAGTGGGTTAGTCAAACAGTAGTTAAGCCCTTTGCTGCTAAGGGAAATGTCCATGGTTAGAACCCACCAGGCACTCACTCCAAGAGATAAAACACATGGTGAAATAATGCGAAGATTTCATTCACCTATGGGACGGATTCACACTCTCCTGAGGTTGCTATGAAATTGAATCCACTCAAGGTCACAAAATAACAAAACGTGGACTTTTTTGTTGAGGCATTATGGTTCGATAATATCTTTTCTACTAGAAATTTAAAACAGTGTAACTGATGCCTTTGTAAACAAAAAGGTGACAGATCCTTCATAAAGATACTTTCTCTAGAGTAATGAAACATAAAATGAATTAAGTATTAAGTAATGTAGCACTGTAGGATAAAACACTGGACTACACGGTCGGTTTGAAGCACAAGGTCGGCTGTTGCTCCTTGGATACCCAGGGTGGCTATGAGTCGGAACGACTCCACTGCACTTAACAGCGTGAGTACACAGCATTCTGGTGTGGCACAGTAGAATCAACAGGCTAACCACAAGGTCGTCGGTTCACTCCCTGGAAACTATTTGTTGTTGTGTGCCGTGGAGTCGGTTCCGACTCATAGCGACCTTGTATAGGGTTTCCGAGGCTGTATATCTTTATGGGAGCAGAAAGCCTCATCTTTCTCCGGCGGAACAGCTGGTAGTTTTGAATTGCTGACCTTGCGGTTCGCAGCCCGATTCGTAACCACTACGCTACCAGAGCTTCATAGAGGATCATTATGAGTCGGAACCGGTTCATGACACTTAACACTATAGTGTTTACTACGTGCATTACAAGGAGTCCTGGTGTGGCACTGTGGGCTAATGCGTCAGCCTGCGAAGTTGTTTGAACTGCAAGGTCGGTGGTTCAAGCTCACCAGCTGCTCCTTGAAAAACCCTATACAGGGTTGCTATGGGTTGGAATAGACTCGACGGCATTTACCTCCACCAACAACGATGTTACATGTATCAACTCATTGATCTTCACTATAACTAGTAGATCTTGTTGGTGTTAAGTGCCGTTGAGTCGGTTGCGACTTACAGTGACTCCGTATACAGTTTCTAAGGCGCAGCTGGTGAGTCTGAACCGCCAACCTTTCAGTCCAGTGCATTATCCTGCAGTGCCACGCAAGGACTGGAATCAATGGATAAGTTCTCTCATTACCACCGTTTTACGTTCACATTAACTAAGGCAAGGCGAGTCGGGTTAATTGCTTAGTGGTAGAGACATAGAATCTATGCCTTGGATGCACATTAAAATCATTTGGTGATCTTTAAATCTAGCAATGACTGCTCTCCACCATTTCACTAGTATCTGGACGTCAGGATGACTAATGGTTCCCCGGTGATTCTAATTTGTAAAAAAGTTTGGGAAACACTGGTCTGGGCTCCAAACCACTAGGTCTTGAGGGTACTGCTAAATATGTTGTATTCCTGGCCCGAGAATTTCTTCACTGAAGCGTCAAAACCAGGGCAAAGGTAGAAGAGAAAGCAAAAAAGAGAAGAGGCGACAAGCTGAGCCGAGCTTTCGCCAGCAATCCCAGCCTGAGCGCCGGCCTGGAAGGCTGCCGGGCTGGGCACACCTTCAGCCTCGGGAGGGGACGACCGGCTCAGCTCCAGGGGTGTCCCGGTGTAGCGGGGAGGGGTGGGGGCAGAAGGATCCAGTTGTCTAGGAGTTGGAGGGGCGCAGGGTCACCCGGCCCGCGGGGGGCGGAAGGGAGAGGCGCACTCGCCTCACATGACTGCCCTCCGCAGCCGCCTGAGGATACCAACCGGACGGGGGCCTCTGTACCCTGGCATGTGGGCGCGAGCCACACCGCTCCTGTTGGGACACAAGTTACTTTCGGCCCCCGCACGGCCGCGGGAAAGTTCGTTACTTTTCTCGGCGGGGCGGAGCCTGGAGGGGCGGGACAAGACTAGGGTCGGCTGGGCATGGGGGACAGGGAGGCAACATCTCCGGCCAGCGTCCCGGCCCCCTCGGGTCCCTTCCGTCCCCCACCATATACCCACCCGGAGGTGAAATCCTGCTGCACGCTCAGCAGCCGCTCGCGCAGAGTCTCCAGCATCTCCGCCGCGTCTCCTCCCCTCAGGCCTCTTGCCGCCACCGCCTTACGCCCCGCGTAGCCGCCCACCTCACCTGTCAACAGTGAGCCCCTTTAGCCCCTGCCGACCCCGCCCCCGGCCCGGGCCTCGCCCCCGCGCCGCAGTCCCTTCCGCGTTCCCGCCCCCGCTCGCGCACTCCTCGCCCCGCCCCCGCCGCGCTCCCGGGGCTGCGCAGCCGCACTGAACGCTCAGGCTGCAGAAAAGGGGCGGTCTCTTTACTCGTTTCTAAACATCGGTAAGAATCCCCTTCGGCCTTCTTCTACCTCCAAACCACGCCTGCTTTTCTTTCGTTTTAAAATGGAAGCTTTGTATAGTAAAGCATGCCACTGAATGAAGGGTTAGTTTTTGCAGTTTGGAAAAGAGGACGATAATCCTTTAGCATAATAGGCACCTCCCTGTAACAAAACGGTTAGGGGACTCTGGGTCCTTGAGCGGGACCGTACAGGCTTTGACCTTGGCTGTGATCCTTAACCATTCTTAACCTCTGTCCCTTCATTAAGTGAAATAAAAGTGCATTTATTAGGTAACATAAGGTGGCAATAATAATGCATTGCTTTGACATCTAGTTTTCGTGCTCTCTTCATCCAGGTTTCTGTTGCCTCCACAACATAGAAAATTGCCTTTGTCACCCAGGACCTACAAATTGCCAAAGTCATTCATTTTTCTGTCCTAATTTTTTCGACTTTGCGGTTCAACTTGAAACATATTACTGGACTCCACGAACGCCCTCCCCCGCCCCCTCCTTTTTCTCTCATTTTATCAGTTGCTCTCAAGGCTACACCTGGAGCCTCCGGATCTCCACTGTACTCTCTGACCATCACCAGGCTGCAAATTCAACCAAGGCACTTGTTAAATTCTGTAGAGTCTAGTGACCCTGTATAGGGTTTCTGCGGTGCCGTTGGTGGATTTGAACCGCTAACCTGTAGATAGCAGTCCAGTGCTTATCCTACAGCGTCACACCAAGGCACTGCTGCTACCCAAATCTCTATCTTCAGTCATATCCCCTCTCTCCATCGTTAATTCAACAGGCACCTAAAGCCCAACATGCCCAAACTTGAAAACTTGACTGTACTCACCTGCTAACTGGTTCATCCTCCAGTCTTCAACAACTCAGTAAATGACACCACCATCCACAAAATTGCTCAAGTCAAGACACCTGAAGTCACCTCTGATCCCTGTCTTTTCTTCATCCTCCATATTCATCAAGTCCTATCAACTCTTCAAAATATTTCTGGGGAACTTCCCCTTTCACCATATTCACTATTAATCACCCTAGTTCAAGACAACACCAAATTGCACCAGAAACACTGATCCTACCCTTTCCTCACCCCACACCTATAATCAATCTTTGCCACAGCAGCTGTAGAGAATTACTCAAAAGATCAGCATGTGGTGTTCTCTTGTATAAAACCCTTCTACTGCTGCTTCTGCCTTCCCTCTCTTACAAAATCCTAACATCTGAATGTTTCCCAACTCTCGATCCAAATCTACCTTGTCTTTGGCCCTTAAACTTTACTAGCCTCTGTGTGTGTGTGTGTGTGTGTTGTCTTCCTTGAAAAGCCCAGGTTTTTACTCCATTTGCACTGAAAAAGTAGGGGTTCCCCCCTCAATCTATAGGAGGCAAACCACAAATATGTGAACACACTCATCAATGAATGACTCCTAACCAAACTCAAACAATCCACTGCCACCAAGTACATTCGGACTCATAGCAAGCCTATAAAGGGTTTCTGAAACTGTAAATCTTCGCCAGATGGGAGCAGGCAGCCTCATTTTCCTCACTCGGAGTGGCTGGTTTGAACTGTTGACCTTTCCATGGTTTGCAGTCCTATCACCTAACCCCAGCACCACTATCCTTCGTGTGAGAGTGATTGGATAAAGGGCTCAAATCAAGGTTGAATTCTTTTTTTCAGTTAGTTTCGTTACCTTCTCTTAAGTCTTACCATAAACTTTTCTCCAAATCATCCAATGGCTGACTCTTCCTTGACATTTGGGTCTAAGCTTAAATGCCATCCTATTATATAGATCTTTCCTGATCGCTCAAGTTACCCACCTAATTTATTCTGATAAAAATCCCTGTCCTTCAACTTAGTACACATCACTATCTGATATTTTATTTAATAATTATTTAATTAATAAAACATTGCTTATTTGTTTATAAATTCACTTTAAAAAACCCCACAACAGAATCGAGTAAAGGGTTACAGAGCAGATCATCAGTTCTACATTCAACAAATCATATACTTTGATTTGTTTCATTACACTGCAATCCACCTCATGTGTCATCAGTTAACAGTATTCACCTTTATTACTTTTCTCTGCCTTCAACTTTCCTCTTGTCTCTAGTCCATGAATAGTTTTCCCTCCCCAGAATTCCCCCACTCCAGTAACCAATATAGAATATTTCTGTTCTCAAGAAAACCTCTTCTTAACTTTTTACAACAGTGGTCTCATACAATATTTGCCCTTTTGTGATTGACTAATTTCATTCAGCATACTGTCCCCCAGGTTCATCCATGTTGTGAGATATTTTGCAGATTCATCATTATTCTCCAATGTTGCATAGTATTCCACTCTATGTATGTCAGTTTACATGCAGTATAACTGCTGATAGGTATGAATTGATTAGAGTCCTGGTGTGGCACTGTGGGTAAGTGCACCGGATTGCAATGTTAGTTTAAACCTCAAGGTTGGTGGTTCAAGCTCAACCTATATGCTGAGCAAATAATCCGAGAAGCTGGGTTAGATGAAGAAAAGCATGGCATCAGGATTGGAGGAAGACTCATTAACAACCTGCAATATGCAGATGATACAACCTTGCTTTCTGAAAGTGAAGAGGACTTAAAATACCTTCAGTATGGAGTGCATCTCAATGTAAAGGAAAAAAATCCTCACCACTAGACCAATAAACAACATTCTTATCAACAGAGAAAAGATTGAAGTTGTCAAGGACTTCGTTCTTCATGAATCAACCATCATTATTCCTGGAAGCAGTAGTCAAGAAATCAAACAATGTATTGCAATAGAGAAATCTGCTGTACAAGACCTATTTAAAGTGTTGAAGAGGAAAGATGTTTGCTTGAGGACTAACCTGATCTAAGCCATGGTATTTTCAATAAGCTCATATGCATGCGAAAGCTGGACAGTGAATAAGGAAGACCGTGGAAGAATTGATGCTTTTGAGTTTTGGTGTTAGAGGAGACTATTGAAAGTGAGATGGGCTGCCAAAAGAACAAACATATCTGGGAAGAAGTGCAGCCAGAGTGCTCCTTGGAGTCCAGGATGACCAAACTTCATCTCTCATACGTAGGACATATTGTCAGGAAGGACCAGTCGCTGGAGAAGGATATCATGTTTGGTAAGGTGGAGGGTCATAGAAAAAGTGGAAGACCCCCAGCAAAATGGATTGGCAAAGTGGCAGTATCAATGGGCTCAAGCATGGCAACAATTATGAGGTTGGCCCAGGACCAGGCAGTGTTTCATTCTGTTGTGCATAGGGTCGCTGTGAATCAGTACGGACTTGATGGTATCTAACTACAACAAATGAATTGATTACTGTCATTTTGCTGTGTGTTTGTGTGTGCGTGTGTGTGTGTGTGGTACTTCTGGTTTCTTTGTTCCACATAGTTTTCTGCACTGAGTTCATTTTATTTCTGGGTTTTCATTTTCATTTCTCTGTGTTAATATTAATAATTAAATCTTTCCGATTTTCTTTTATTTTGATGTGTGTGAGGGTGTATTCATTTTCTTTAATGTTATATTCATTTTCTTTGGTGTTATTTATTAAATTTTTCCCTGTTTTAAACTGTTTTATCTTGAAAATTATTTTATTTTCAACCAGTTAGAAGTTCTGTACCTATATTATTCCTTCTTTTCACTTTGTAGTTGACTTCATTATAAATGAATAACTCTGGCGTCCTATTTTCAGTCTTGTGGGCTTGTTTTACTTTAAGTACTGAAATCTGGATTGAGTTCTGATTGGAGTTGTCATGTATGGTAATCTCAGGTTGTTGTTTGCTGTCGCTGTTTCTCAGTCCAAAGAATACACTTTAGTATCTTTTGTAAAGTTGATCTGATTATTACAAATTTCTTTGATTTCTGTTTGTCTAGAAATGTTCTGATTTCACCAACGTATTTTAAGGGAAGCTTTGCTGGGTATATGATTCTTAGTTGGCAATTTGTTTCTTTCAGAGTTTTGTATATGTCATCCCATTGCCTTCTCGCTTGCATAGTTTCTGCTGAGAAATCAAATCTTAGTCTTCTTGGGTCTCCTTTGTAGGTAACTTTTCATTTTTCCTAATTCTTTCTTTCTCTTTGGTTTTGGAAAGTTTGATTATGATAAGTTGTGGTGAGTTTCTTTTAGGATCTATCTTGTTTGGGGTTCATTCAGCTTCTTTTGTACTTATCTTCTCGTTCTTCATGATGTTAGAGAAATTTTCTCCCAACAACTCTTCAACAATTTTCTCTGTGCTTTTTATTGTCTCTTTCTGTTCTGAATTTCTGATCACCCATAAGTTAGTCCTCTTCATGGTATTCCACATACCTCGTAGGCTTTTATAAGATATTTTCATTCTTTTTTCTGATCTTCTAGCATACTAGTGAAGTCCTGGAGTAGCCCTGTACATTAATGTGCTGGACTGCAAAGTTGATTTGAACCGCAACGTTGGCATTTCAAGTTCACCAGCTGCTCCTCAGAAACACAATACAGGGTCACTATGAGTCAGACTCAACATGACGACACTTAACAGTAACAAGCATACTAGTATTGAGAGATTTATCCTCGCGATCACTAATTCAGGCTTCCATACTTCATATCTGCTCATATGCCCTTTCAATATCTTGTGCATTTCTCAAATCTTAGTATTAGTCTTCTGTATTTCTAATTGTAGATTTTGTACTGTTTTCAAACTTTGTGTTTATTTTGTCTGTTTGTTCTTGCAATGTTCTTCTGAAGTTTTTTCCATGTTCTCCTTGCTTACCTCAATTGTTCTGTCAATCCTTTGAAGGTACCTAAATTCTTTTGAATTCTTTTTCAGTTAGTTCCAT